GGTGAATGTAGCGGGTGTGGGGAGGGGATTGAAACCTCAAGCCCTTAGTCTTTCTGACCCTAGCTGACTCGGGGGCTGGGCTGAACCCCAGAGGGGTTCACGGGAGCTGCCCAGATGGGAAAGCTGACCCCCAGAGAGCTCAGCTCTGGCCCTGGGACCTTTTCAACCTTCTGCTCCCAGGAAAAGAGGGGACAATAAATGTGGGGCTTCCCTGGTCTGGTTTTCATGCTCCACCCTGAACGACTAGCCCTGAGTAGTGGAATTTGGATGGACTTTTGATGGGACACTTTCTATATATTAGAAATTTACATTATGGTGACAAACGCACATGGTTGGTTTTTTTGTTTGTTTTTTTGCGTGTTTGCTAAAAAGGTTTCCAAGCTTCAGTAAGTTTTCAGGTGGTGATCAATCTGCCACTTGAGCAGGCGGGAGCAAAACTGGGTTAAGGGTGAGGGCTATTTGCACATTTCCCAGGCCTTACCCATCTAAAGCCTCATGAAAACACAAGTGTTAAGTATAGGAACTAAGGGAGGATGTTGGGGGTCTCAGGGAGGGCCCATTAGTCTTAGCATTTGGGTCGGGGGTGTTGGGGTGGACCCAGGCAGCAGAGGCATGGGATGGGCCCACCAGGCCCCAGTCAGGGCTGCCACCGGCATATACAACACCTTCTCGAAGAGTAGAGTCCCCTGAGTGGGTCAGTTGGAGGAAGGTTCCCTTTCCACTGGGCTACTGTGGCCCATCATCAGGCTTTCCGGCTCAGTGAGCAGAGGACAGGTTGGATTCAGGCCCCACTTGTGCCTTCTTGGCTGTGAACACTTGTGCAGGGCACAGCTTGTCCAACCATATGCAGCAGCCCAGGTCCCAGCACCCTGGCAGTGGATATGGGAGGGGGCAGAGGAGCTTAGCCTACAGGCAGAAGTGCAAGAGACACATTGTGCCCCAGCCCCCAGGTGGGGGGATGGGGTGAGCGCACCTATGCCCAGGGCCAAGGTAGGGGCTGTGGCGCATGCTCGGGCTGGCAGGAAGTCAAGGTGAATGTGGTGGCCGCAGCCAGGCCCAGTATATGTAACAAGACAGTCAGTCCCTGCCCATGCACGCAGCAAAAGATACGGGATGGCCACAGCCCGTTCTAGCATTTAGGAAGTCACAGGTCTTGGAAAGGACTTGGATCCCACTGTCGCACCGTGTGTTTAGAGAAGGGCAGCTTGGGCTGACTCCCAGCACAGGCCCCCAGGCATCTCTGTTGTGTTGATATGCCTCCTACTTGTCCAGCGACAGATTGGCAGCGTCTCTAGCTCTGAGCACTTCCCAGCAGGGGAGTTCCTGGGACCCGTAGCTCAGGGTATTTAGTAATTATCATAATCATAAATCGTAGGGCGATGTAAGTTGGGCCTTTACAACGCGCTGAAGTAGCCAACGACTTTCTTTTGTTTGATCCTCCCTGTGACACTGTAGGCGAGACCTGGGCTGGCCTTGCCATCATTGTTTTACAGTTGGGGAAACTATGGCTCCGCCTGGTTTGCCCAAAGCCACGCAACTAATATTTGGCTGAGTCTGGATTCAAACTCAAGCCTGCCTGGCACAAAGCCCAGAGCCCGGCCCGTGACGGCCCTGCAGGAGCTGTGGGCCGCCTTGTGGATCATAGTAACCCTCCTCCTCCTAATGTTAGTAATAATAGCAGTTATCATTTGCTCCTCGCATAATAAGAACTCTGAACATGTTTTTCTTTAATGCTCACAACAGCCCTATTAGGCATGGATTAGGACCCCTGACTTACGGATGAGGAATCCGAGGCTCCTGAGAGGGTCGGTGACTTGCCCAAGGAAAGAAGAGCAATGGGGCTGGGTGGCATCACTCTGACTCACACCCGGGGCTGTCTGGTTCCAAAGCCAGTGTCTGTGTTGGGTCCACAGTCAAGGAAGATACAGGGGCCTTGAGGACTCAGCAATTGGAGAAGTAGCGCTTAAATTCAGGCTGTAGAAAGGACCTTGAACATTGCAGTTGTGGGGCAAGATGTGGCAGACGTGAAGAGAAGACTAACTGGGAACCAGGGCAGGCGGGGCTGCCTGAGGGTGCTCTCAGTACCTGCATGTAAATTGTTGAGCTCACCTCAGTTAAGGGTCAGAAATGGCCTCCGGGAGAAGGCGGCATCTAAGCTGGGCTGTGGATGAAGGACCCGAAGACCCTGCAGATGGAGGACATTGCTGGAAGTGGAGCGGGCATGCCCAGGGAGTGAGGCTGGGCTTAGAGATGGTGGCAGTCAATCGGGCTAAAACAGATCTGGACAGGAAAGCCTCAAATGTTAAAGGTCTGAATGCTGGTCAAGGCTGGGTCAGACACCTTCTGTCATCAGGGGGGACTGGGGAGGTCTGGAGGAGAGGCTGGACTCTGCAGCATAGCAAGGGAAGCAAAGGGCCCCATTTATGGCTAGGTCGCTTTCTAAATAGGTGACTTTGGACAAACCTGTTCATGCCTTGGAGCTCCAGTGCCCTCCTCTAATGAGCATTGTGTAAAGGGGAGAGGTCAGGAGGACAGAAGAAACACCAAGGAGAGGGATTAGACCGCGGCTGCGTTGGAAGCAGAACAGCAAGGAGCGAGCAGAATTGGTGGGTTGAAAACCCCTGTGGCAAGGCCCAGGCCTGAGGGCTTCCAAGTGTGGGTGCCAGAGGAAGTGTGGAGTCTAATTAGAGCTGAACAGCTGGTGTTGCAGGAGGGCTGTGGGTAGAAGAAGGTGCCTGGACTTCCTGTAGATCTGTGAGAAGTTGTCAGACCTCCAGGCACCTTAAACCAAGGTCCAGAGAGGGACTAGCGATGGCCCAAGTTCAGGAAGTTAGCTCTCAGCAGAGCCTGCTTCCTAGCTGTGTGTTTTTTGGGAAGTCACTTAACTTCTCTGATCCTTATTAGTTTCCTCATCAGTAAAATGAGGATAATAATTCTGACTTCTGTGCATTGATGAGAGAACTTACAGTAAAGCAATGCTCAGCACAAAATAGTGGCTAACACACTGGAGTGCCCTCTGCCTTCCCCAACCTAATCTCTGTCATATGCTGAATAGTCAAGCTTGAGAAATGTGAAGTGTAGAACTTGAAAACAGAGGGGTAGGAGGACCCAATACCTCTGCCACCAGAAGCAAAAGGACCCCAGGCCTGGAGGCACTGCTTCTGCAGTTAGGGTCAGGCTGGAACTGGGGAGTGGAGGGACCAGGGACCAGGCTGGGGTTGCTAGGCACGCAAGAATGAGAGCTGGAAGAGGTGGCCTGTTGCTAAGGAAGGAGGGAGGGTGTGGGGAGCCACTGACACCCAGTGGAGCCTGGGATGTCCCCATGGCAACAGGAGCCGCTGCAACCTCGGGAGGAGAGGTGGGAGGAGCAGCCACTGCTGGCTCTGTTCCCAGAGGCCTCCCACTCTGGGCCTCAGTGCCCTCATCTGTCCAACGAGAGTTTAGATTAGATCATCTCTAAAATTCTTCCTTGTTTTGACCTCCTGGTAATCTGGGGTGGCTGAGACCTCACGGAGGACTTTCCGTGGTTCCCACATTCGCATGTCCAAGACACCGCTAGTCCCCAGAGCCGCCCCAACTGCATTGGCTCTTCCCTCCCATGCTGCCTCCTGTTCGGTGCAGCCCCGGGGCCTGCCCTGTCCAACTGTCCGTTCCCACCACTTCCTTTGCCTGGAACCTTGTCATTTACTGCCTGTCCAGTGCACTTTGGGGGGCCCAGCTCCAGTCCTGCCCTCTCTGGACAGCCTGCTTCCTCCCTCCTGGGCTTCTTTGGCTCCGAAGGTCTGAGCTCCTCCTGCTAGCCTTAGTAACCACCGCTGCAGT